CCCCCGGCACACCCGGCTCCTCGTGGTTCGACATTTTGGTTTGAAGATGGCGCGTAGCGCACATCCCGCATAATATTGGAACAACTTTCTCTCCAATTAATTCTTAAATGTATTGCAAAAGGGTACAAAAAAGCGGTTTGTTTTAACAACGCCCAAAAGGTTTTGATTGTTTTTCAATACTTTTACCTGTACTAGAACAGATGCGACGGCCAGCGACGCACAGGATTGGTTGCCGTTCCTTCGCTAAACGCAGGAACTGCTCCCCGCGTCGTAGTAAATCCTACCCCGTATCCCGCGCGTAGGGACGCCTCAGGGAATGCGTAGCTACTTCCGCTCGTCGGTGGTTGGCTCCGGACGTCGCTGAAACGGGTGACGGGTGTCAAGTTTGCGATGACGTAGCGGCGTCAAAGTGGGCAGAGCCGCCACGTGAGTGTTGCTAGGATACGCTCCTCCTTTGCATTACGTCACTTCCATGTACCTTTTCTCAAATGTCCAACCTAGCGATCCTGGATCGCTAGGTTGGACATTTGAGAAAAGGTACATGGAAGTGACGTAATGCAAAGGAGGAGCGTATCCTAGCAACACTCACGTGGCGGCTCTGCCCACTTTGACGCCGCTACGTCATCGCAAACTTGACACCCGTCACCCGTTTCAGCGACGTCCGGAGCCAACCACCGACGAGCGGAAGTAGCTACGCATTCCCTGAGGCGTCCCTACGCGCGGGATACGGGGTAGGATTTACTACGACGCGGGGAGCAGTTCCTGCGTTTAGCGAAGGAACGGCAACCAATCCTGTGCGTCGCTGGCCGTCGCATCTGTTCTAGTACAGGTAAAAGTATTGAAAAACAATCAAAACCTTTTGGGCGTTGTTAAAACAAACCGCTTTTTTGTACCCTTTTGCAATACATTTAAGAATTAATTGGAGAGAAAGTTGTTCCAATATTATGCGGGATGTGCGCTACGCGCCATCTTCAAACCAAAATGTCGAACCACGAGGAGCCGGGTGTGCCGGGGGCAGCGGAGGGGTCGGCGGAACCAACGGGGAGCGCGCGAGTGACGGCTGCTTTAGTCAGAAACAATTTTTTTATCTTCCGAGAACTTGCTATTGCTGTGCTCAAATAAGAATGTTTGGCGCAACATCTGTGATAATTCTTTCAAAGTGGTCCAGTGTTTATATGGTGGTATGCTAGTCAGAGAATATATATATATTTTTTTTTTCCTTTCGAAATTTAACTATTGTGCTCAAATAAGACCAGAGTGTTCAACAAGATATCTGTGATATATACTTAAGATTGCCCAATAGCTTACATGGTTCCAGTCGATGCTCAGTTTTACTTCCAAGAATGAAATATTACATTCCATGTTATCACACTTTTATTCATGAAGTCACAGGTTTTGCTTTAAGAAATAAAGCAATTTTCAAGACAAACTACATGTGCACTGTCTTGAGATAACACAATCACCTAACTTTGATGAAGTACCATAAAAGAGATAATAAAATAGAGCAGAAGGCAAGACGCTTTGAAGCATTTGTAAAATGAAACAATGTCCATGACAACAATATCCCTGGTTCAATCAGCAACTAAGAAAGCAATCTCTGCAAAAGCGAGCATTTCTTTCTAGAGGTAGTCTAAATTACTTCTGAGTTCTTTGCAGGGGCAATCCAGATGACCTGTTGGTCTGGCAACTAAACCTCCGAACCTTTTCTGTCACTGTAGACTGCGTCTCGTGCCTTCTGCTCATAAAAATAAAAAAAAAGGCTGTATCGATTTCACCGCGATGCACTCGACACGTATCCGGAGGCAGCACGCTGGCTGTGCGACGAACTTCACAAGGTGTAAGAGCTGAAGAGAGTATGTAGCTTGTGGACGGCCATGGCTGTGGAGCAGGAAGCGAAGTGTGCACTTTACGGCTTCCACGGGGAGGGCTTCACTGAGTGCAAGGATGGGACGGGGTCCTTGGTGGTCAGGACCTCAGTCGTGGTGGCGAAAGGTTCCCTGTCGCTGGCGGCGTCCATGCTGGGCACCACCGCAGTGAGGGCGCTGAGGGGCTTCCCGACGGTGTCCCTGGTGGTCGGGACTACCGTCGTGGCGGCGGACTCCTTGCGTGTGGCGCTCCGCACGGGCACGTCTGCGGCGGGTTCCGAACCGGGTGACAAGGCGCTGCCTCAGAGCCTTCCCCCTGTCCGAGAGGCCGACCGGAAGGCCGACCGGAAGGCCGGCAGGAGCCAGCCTCTCGGGAGCCGACGCTGACCTCTCCGAGCTCGGCTCAGAACCGTCCGAGCTCGGCTCAGACTCCAACTCTGACTCTTCAGGGTCGGAGTCTGACTCCGGTTCTGGCTCGCTCGATGCAAGGCAGATGTTGTGGAGCACTGCACATGCCGAAATAATGGCGGTGGCTGTTGAAGGGTGGTAATACAGAGCCCGGTGCCTTTGCAGACACCGGAATCTGTTTTTAAACAGCCCGATGCAGCGCTCCACAACAGACCTGATCGAGGAATGCGCCTTATTAAACCGGCCGCAAGCGGTGGAGGTCGCGTGGTTCCCGGGGACAGGGGTGATGAGCCAAGGCTCCAAGGTGTAGCCGCTGTCACCTGCACATGTAGAGGATGGAACATATTACATTCTTTACTTTTTAAAATAAAAGGCAAGAAAACAGCTGTGTGCAACTATGTCAATTATAATGTAACTTAAGTGTGACTTAAAAGTGTGTTAATATTTCTGCACTACAGTATCAGTTTACATTATGATTAATTAGCACCAGCTTGCCTGCAAACTCCCTGTTATTTCATGTAACTATGTGTTTTCCTGGTGAGTTGTATGGGATGTGCGCACGATTCCTTAGGGGTGCTGTGTTGTATGCATGTGCATTATTAGGCCCTTGCATCCGACAGATAAAAGCTCTGTTGCTTTTGGGAGTGTGGCCGTGACCTTAGGCGCGGGCAGAGCAGAACACGCTGGCCTTGTGTTTGGCAAGCAAGGGGATAAGGCGCCAGTTCGACGAACCTCTTTCCTAATCCTCGGTGGAGTTGGACATGGGGAAAAGAGAGGGGGTGGTTAGATTAGAAAGGAGTCAGGTCCTGTTGGGACACGGAGGGTCTAATAGGAGGAGCTATATAGGCAGACCGAAGAAGAAGGGTCAGGGAAAAGAATCCAGTGTGTGGGACAGAGACGACCCGAGGACAGATTTGGCGAGCCCCAAGTGGCCAAGGAGGAATTGATCCCATTCCGTACAAACTGACGACCGTCAAAGCGACCAGGCGAGCCCCCACGTATCAGCGAAAGAGCTCCAACTTCATGCAAAAACCAACCAGCAAGCGGGTACAGGCAGACAGTAACAGTGAGTGGGCCGAACCGGACAGCGACTCGCACTGCGGTCGCATGCCTTGCATAGTCTATCACTGTCGTGAGATAGGTGTAGTGTGGCTTTCGTAGCCTGCAGAGTGTGAGAGTTATGTGGACATAAACAGAGATTAATGGCCAAACTTTAGGTGTTGTCTCACTTCAAGGAGTTCCAGCAACTGTGTCTGTGTGCCTCACAACAAGCACAGTACGTGTGGTACTGTGGCTTTCAAGCAGTGGGAGCCACCGTGTGCGTAAGGAATGAATTTAGTATGCTCACCAAGCAGGAACCGGCCGTCGCGTGGCACCTGCCCTTGCTCGAGTTGGTTTCGGAGCCAGGAAAATTGCCACACGAAGGAGTCGTGCACCGACCCGGGATACCGTGTGTCGATACACATTATCCGGCAGTCGGCGTCACACACCTGAAAGTGAGAGAGATATTGACATGTAATTACCTGAATCCACAAGTAGTAGATTGTACTTATGGTTCACAAAGCAGTCGTAATTTCAGAACCTTTTAAGTTATTTTGTCTGACACATGCATGTCAACACACCTTCCTGGATGCAAGGTACAACTAACTACCTTGAAACAAAAATAACGTTTTTTTTTGTTTTTGTTTTTTACGGAAGCTTGAACAGACAAGTATTATTTTTGGGAGAAGCGTCTCACGGCTCACATGCTATGTAGAGCACACGCTCGCGCAGTCGTGAGACCCGAGAGCCCGCAGTCATAAAACGGCATACTTAAACCGTATCGGCAATACGTTTTTTTTTTTTTTTTCTACAGATTTGGGGCGCGTTTTGACAACGTAACATGAGTGTACTTACCACCATCACGTTGAGGGCGTAGAAGTACTTGCGGCACCAGTACGCCGCCTTCGTGACGGTGGGGTCGTTCTTGGACGGGCCGACGATGGAGACCATGGTCCCGTCCACGCAACCGATGACGCCGGGTATCCTGCCGAGCAGCCTGAAGCCCTTCTCCGCGTCGAACCTCTCGCTCGGCGTCTCGGGGAAGTGGATCAAGCCACGCTGGACCCCGAGACGACGCACGATAGCGACGGACACGGCGCGGACCGCAACGCTGACTGTCTTTTGGTCCCGCGCTACGTGTTCGTCGCTCGCCACCATCCCTTGGAAGCTCCCCGTGCCGTAGAAGCGCAGTGCACACAACACTTGAAGCTCCACAGTCATGACCGTCCACGAGGTACGCACTCTCCTCACCTCCGGTTCCTCGCGAAGTTCGTCGCACAACCACCGCACCACGATCTTGGGCAGGCGGTATTGCTTCCGAAAGCTCTCCTCCGGGAGCTCGAATGCATCGCGGTGTTCCCGATACAGCCTTTCGGGCGAAAAAAAAAAGCTCTATTAAAGAAAAAGTCGAATTGACGAGACGGCGACGCCTCGCCGCCGAAAACATGCTGCCAATGACACCTAGTTCCGAGCAAGTACCTTTTGAAACGTACTCGGTACAAAACGAAACGTCATTTTGTCGTCACGTCCGGTAGCCGACTCCGCCCAGTTTTGCCGACTCCGCCCACATTTTTCTAGGGAAATTACGTCACTTTTGTTTCCAACCAATCAGACGTGATGACGTCACTTCCGTGTACTAAAAAAAGGTACATGTACAATGTCGAACCTAGCTATCCTGGTGCATGTCTCCCAGCCGACTGTCTGCCGCACAGTGAGGACGGTGACGACGCTCATCGCGAGGGTGCTCTTCCGAAGGCTGGTGCACTTCCCGGCTGCGTCGGAGTACCACGGCGTTATGCGCGACTTCTACGCAATGGGGCAGTTTCCTGGCGTCACGGGTTGCATCGACTGCACCCACGTGCGCATCAGAAGCCCCGGCGGAGATGATGCGGAAGTTTATCGCAATAGGAAAGGAGTCTTCTCCCTGAACGTCCAGGTGAGCTCATATTTCTTATACCCCCTTTATTGACGTAGCTTGCCTACTAAACTGCCAGGCTGGGAAGCATGGGTAATGCTCACGCAAAACGATTTCAGCTGTTCAACCCGATCATTGTAAAACATTGGGAAACCCTTTCATCAGCTGTGTTGTTGCTGCTTATTGTACACCTCTGGGCCCGCTCGAAATAGCCATTGCACAGCCTATACCTAGCTTGCATATGCGACGTTATCTACGGGCAACAGGCACGTAGCCAGCCCCGGGGGGGGGGGGGGGGGGGGGGGGGGGCAGTTGTTTCACTTGTTTTCGAGCATGAGCCAACTGGCCCAAATTGCCGTATTAATGCAATGTTATATACCTGCAGGCCATCACCGGCCCACAGCTACAGTTCTTTGATGTTGTGGCAAGTTGGCCAGGATCTGTGCACGACAGCCGCATCTTTGATGGCAGTCGTGCGCGTGCCCTTTACGAGGAGAGCAGAGTGCCCGGCGTCCTGCTGGGGGATATGGGCTATGCCTGTCTCCCTTTCCTGATGACGCCGCTCGCAAACCCTGGAGCGGCAAATAGTCCCGGAGAGAGGTAAGCCAAATCATCGGCAGAAGTATAAGATTTGTTTTGGTACTGCACTGACAACATCACTAATGTCTGTAATAGCAGGCAGTCATTGCCGATGACAAACAGTTCTTCAAGCGTTTCATGGACAGATCACTTCGCCGATATCCAATGTTCTTTCCTACCTTGCCGAACCCTTGGCGGTTTCGACAAGGCTTGGTGCAAGCTCGAACTTGAGATTATTTTAGCACCGAGATGTTTCAATGGCGCCCTGTTATGGTTTCCATCCGTGACGTCACGAGTGGGATTTGCCTCGACGTGACGTCACCAGTTGTTATCCTGTCTACTTACCATCAGGTGCGACGACGACTTCGGTGGTGTGTTTAAAAAGCACAGTGGAAGCTAGGAGTCATTGCAATCCGAAAGTAACACCGTCAAAGCTGACAATCTGACAATGCTCATATGCCCACGGTTTGGCCAATCGTCGAAAGCTGACCGCAGCGGCGCTTTTGGTCGCGCACATCGCTAATGAACCATTTCCCCTAGCAGAGCGGAGCAAAGTGAGGTGTGATCGTGTGGTCTGTTTAAGACATAGCTTGCCCCGCCGTCGGTGGTTCATTCACTAAAAAGTAAATTCAGTCTAATTTTTCTTTTTCAGCATTAGGCAAATGAAAAAAAAATCATAAGATTTGACGACCGCGACCACTAAATTCAATCCACCTAGCAGAAGAAAACGTTTGTCGACGAAATGTCGCAAGAACGAAAAAGTTTCCATGAGATGTCAACAGTATCATGAAGCCGTGCGTGCACGAAAAGTTGTCAATAAAACATATCTAACCTCGACAAAAGAATGTCAACCTGTTATTTCCATACTGAAAAAGAAAATACAGTGATTGCAAGTATGTTCCCAGATGCCTAAAAATCGATCACATGCCTTATAATTTGATTTAGGTACAACAAGGCCCAGATCCGAACGAGGAACTCCGTCGAGAGGGCCTTTGGGGTCTGGAAGAGACGATTTTTCTGTTTGGATATGCGGCTCCAGCACAAGACTCGCCACTCATGCAGCATCATCACCGCGTGTGCGGCTTTGCATAATCTGGGACGTGCAAGAAATGAGCCCCTACCTCCTCCTCCACCCCCGCCACCAAGTCCCAGGGCACGGAATGCCAGAAGGCGGCGGCAGCCACACCTGCCACCGATTCTCCCGGAGGACTCTCCTTCGGGTCTGCGTATCCGGCAGAACATCATTCTGCTGAGCTTTACGTGAGCTGCACGTAGGCTCAAGAGGCCCATCACACAGGCCATGAAGGTGAGGAGTCGTACTTCCAAGTGTGTGATACTTCAGTTTGACTTTAAAAGTGAACCATCAGTAAAGCAGGCATAGCAGTTTGAACATGATTTATTGTGCAGCCTTCTGGCTCAGTTCCTGCAGCAGTATGTTTTCCTTGATACACAGGAGCTTCATCTCCATTTCGTGAATGGCATTTCTTTTTTTCAGCTCGTCCTCGCGCAATTTAATTTCCATTTCATGCAGCGCAGCTCTCTTGCTGAGTGCGTCGCGGTGGTCCTGTTCAAGGAAGTTGCAGCGCAGGGCATGCTCCTGCTGGACAAAGGCCATCCTCATATCGTTTTCCTCTGCGAGGCTCCTTTCCAGCAGCGCCATACGTCCTCCGACCTGGCGGGCACCACTGCCCACAGCTGCTGCCGCACTACCACTGTTGCACGCTGCAGCAGCCGCAGGTGTAGGAGCTGGTGACCCTGCAGTAGATGTCTGGCTAATCAGGCAAGCTGCTGGGGCTGCTGCAGGTCTATCAGCGATGCAGGCAGCCGCTGGTGACAGTGGTGCATCGACGTCTGAGGCAGGCCCAGCTGGTGAACCGGGCTCCTCTGCAATTGAAAGAACACGTAGAAGTTATGAAGTGAACAATGGGACATACATGAAGAGTAGAAAGGGTTTTTATAAGTTTGAGATTGTATTTTTGTTTTTCATGCAGTTGCAATTTGAAGTATTTGATTTTTTTTCTGCTGCTGATCTAATGTGTAACAATGTTTTCATCCATTTTGAACCTGTGCCATAAACTAGGCCACTAGATTACTTAACCGTTTCCACCTTTTGGAGTGCTTGGTATAGATATTTCTTGGCAGAAATCATGCTATGATTATTTTAATACCCTGTGCTGTTTGTTTCTTTGTCAGGGGAGTATGGTCATTGTTAGTCTGCAGTAGTTGCCATGTACTGTTTTGAAGCTGTATGGAACCCAGCCCTGCAATGATATATGTTACCTTGTACATAAGTAATGTACATGCTGTTCGCACCATTTGTTCATTTTTACTAAATTATCTTGAAATTGAATGTTGTCATGCACACTTTTTACTTTGTTATTGACGACACAGTCATCTGCAACAAGATTAATATTAGATGAGATGGTTGCTGCAAGGTCATTCATGATTATTAAAAAACGTAGGGGTGCCAGTATGTACTACTGAGGAACACCAGGTGAAACATTTCTGAAGGCAGACTCATTATGATCTATAACCGTATCCATGCATATCCATGAGAAGATCAGTGGGTAAAGACGAAAAGGTACCAGTTTAGAAAGTACACTCTAAAACCGGTCCCTCATAAAAAACGCTGTCCCTCTGATTTTAGAGGGGACAACAATGCTTTCAGGGGGACAGCCCTTTTTAAGAGGGAAATTGAAAAATAAAATAGCAACATCTAGAGGGACACCAACATATTAAGAGAGACCAAGGAAACCGTTTCGTTAGTCCCTCTGAACAGGAAAGACAGACAAAAAGATTCACGCGTGTCCCTTCATATTAAGAGGGAACCGGTCCCTCTTAACTGGACCAATGTAGTTCGGTCAGGAGGAGGGGGGCAGGCGCACTAATCCACGGTGCTAAGGCTTCACGCCAATTCACGGAGAGCTGGAAACGGTCGTTGCCGGAGAGTCGCAAGCGTCATGCTGCTCGTTTGATTTCCTTCGGGTGAGTAATCCTGCCATATTGACGCTTTTGTTTTGGGTGCATTGCGGGTGGGAATAACGAGCCATCAATATTTTCACGCTGGCTGTGAGATGCACGAGCTTTGCATGTAGAGTGAGAGTGTTCAGCTGTAGTCCGCGGACGCGGTCGCTTCCTGGATCTGCTCGTTCAGTTAGGACAAAGCGTCGCTAATCGTTTGCCCTGCCGTGAGCCGCAGGGCTGTCTTTCGCACAAAACACTTTTAGCGGGTTAGGGTGTCCCAACGTGTACGCGTCTGTCTTAAGCTGGTGATATCAGACCATTTTCTGTCCGACGCTTTTGTCTACTTTTCAATTTCGAACGCGCGATCGTTCTTCTCCCAGCTCGAGCTGCTAACTTTGGCAGTGCTACGCCGGCATTTTATTACCGGCAATTTCCTGGTATTTTATCCGTGAGCGTACACTGTCGGCATCGAGTACTACAAAGGATGGCATCACCCTCCCTAAGGCAAAGCCAGCATAAAGGCACCCTAGCTGGGGCAGTCAGTGTTTGTAAGCTTGGCTCGCCGATTTCTTTCTCGGTGTGCACTCTAAATGCTTGAGGTTGACCGCCCGAGAGCGTTGATTGACAGAAACAATGTTGGCGATTTTGCGTTTGTTTGCCTTCACAATTCATTACAGCAATTTACACTGCAACGTTATGTTGTAGACATCGTTAGCGTTGCAGTGATTATGAACATATTTTTCTCAAGTGGGCGACGAGTAAAAACCCATAATGTGTGTGTATGTTTGTGAAAAGGGCAGGGGGATTGGACGAGCAGAAACAAAAAGAAGAAATAAAGGTTTTTTTTTCTTCGCGTGTTCGCGTTGCGTCGGCGTCGCGGCGTCTGGGGGAAGGGTGTAGCGGCGGCCAGGGAGTACATTTTTTTTCTTTTGTATTTCTTTGGCGTACTGTTTTGTTCGTTATATTTTGACGGTCGTGCAGGCACAGCTACCGGCTTTTTTTTTTTTTTTTTTTTTTGGCGCCGACTATGTTTTTGTTTTTGGAGATCTTATTTATGATGTTTATTATGCTCTTTGTTTTCTGTAGCTGGCTGAATATTTTTTTTTTTTTTCTGTGTCGTGCATCCGCGAAAAATATGTAAACAGAAGTTTGCTTTTTTTTTTTTTCTTTTCTTTCTTATGCGCTTTAGGGCTAGTGCGTTGACTGTGGGCGTTAAATGACTGACCGTTATTAACAATCTTGTTTTCAGAGTGAGGCAATGGCAACGAACGTTGACATGAAGGGAATCAGGCGGGGGTTCCGCTCGGATTGCTCGTGTAAAGAGCTCTACCGGGACCCTCTGCACGGTGGAACGCACCACCCTGAGTGGTGAGCCTACTGCGGCCACCCGCACACGGTTCACAACGAACTCGGTAATTATTAACTTTTTGTATTCCGGTATGTAGGTAGGCTCTATTTACGTTCTGTTGGCAAATGCACTGCTACTGAAAAAAAAAAAAAAAAATGAATGGCTGGCGGCGAAATATTTACAGAAATGTAATTTTTTATTTGATTATGTTGCTTTCTAAAACATGCGCTAGATCACTTCTGCAGCTTCGAGCCGCAAATGCAATCCATGCTTACCAAAGCACATGGGGCTTCTAAAGTTCATCTACTACTAAATGCGTTTTCGTTTTGTCTTGGTAATACAGAAACAATTGATTCTCGTAAATTAATTAAAACTGCAGTCTATTCTCGTACCAAAAATTAATAGTGGCATAAGTTGCGTCATAAGCTAATGTCACTCGCTATTTCATCGCATACAGATTGGGTTCCGAATCTTTGAACTGTTTGCACTTTATTTTCGCATTTGTTTCCTATCGCCTGCTTGATAACAGGTGAAAGCGCTTGATTACCTTTATTCTAATTCCCACCCTCTGTATCTAAAGGAAAACAATATGGTCTTTCATTCAGCTAAAGGTGGATGCACAACTTCGGTTCCATAACACGATTGTCACCATGCTGGGAAACCTGGAGGAGGTAAAAGGGGCCTTCTGCGGAGACAACCCAACAACATCCTTG